AGGCCAATCTCAAGTCTCTGAACCTGCAGAACAGACCAAAAAAGATTGTGTTGAAGCAAAGAGAGATTCTCAAATGTCGTCTCCTCAAGATGAAGGCCAATCCCGAGACTTTGAACTTGAAGAACAGACCAAAAATGACGAGGACCTGAAGGGGGATTCTCAAATGGCTTTGCCTCAAGATGAAAGCCAAGCTCAAACCTCTGGACCTGCAGAACAGACACAAAAAGACGATGAGCTGAAAGTGGGCTCTGAAATGTCTTTGCCTCAAGATCAAGGCCAGTCCAAAGAGAGTGAGCCTGAAGAAAAGACTACAAAGGAAGAGGGAGTTTCCCAGATAGTCGCCTCTTCCCCAGCAGATGAGTCCACAGATGGAACAAGAAAAGAAGACAACAAGACAATAGAAGCTGATGATGACAACCTCAGTCAAGAGGACTCTCAGGTGATCACCCCATCTTCTTCTGACAGCCAGTCTAAACGTAGATCCAGAAGAAGCAAGGCGTCGCCAGAGGCAGCAGAGTCTGAAGACAGAAGTGGAACTAGAAATTCATTAAGAAGCCAGAGTAGATCTAATTCTCAGACTGAGGATCAATCCGGAGGTAGAAGAAGGAAGGGCAGGGTTCCCCTTACTTCTTCTGGCTCGACCCCACAGAGTTCTCAGTCTTTAGATCTTTCTGAATCAGAGTCCTCCCAAAGCAGAGGCAGATATTCAACACGAAGATCCTCTCCAGCAGTGGTAGGTGGAGTGGAGTCCTCCGAGTCTCAATCTTCTGAGGCCAGAAAAGATCCCCCTATTCCCAAAAAGAGAGGGAGGAAGCCTCGAGCCTCTCTGCAAAGTCCTCTCACCGTTGAATCCAAAGAGGACAGAACTGAACCAGTGGATGATTCTCAAACAGAAGACAGCCAAAGCACAGAAACAAAAACAGAGCCGGTGGAGTCCTCAGAAGCACAAGGTCTGCTGCAGGTTGAAGGCATCATCGAAGAGCAAAGTAAGGAAGAGTCACCGATGGAGGAGGAGGCCGACGCAACAAAGAAAACCGACAGTGATGATCCCTCATTGCACGAAACTGACACTAAGGACTTGGAAACGCTTGAATGTGCTGGAATGAGTAATGAACAGACTCAGGAAATGTTATCTGCTGTGGCGCCTCCTGATGAAACACTGCAGCCTTCAGAGGAGAAACCCAAAGAAGTGTCTGAA